ACACACACACACACACACACACACACACACACACACACACACATACACACCCACCCTACCCCCTCCTTATCTGTCACTCAGCAACATGCATTCTTTTCTTCCTGTATCTTTGCTGATTTTGGCAGCCACCTGTCTGCCTCTTCATCTGCGGCGTGGCATTGGTCACACTCCAGCTCCTCTTCCTCTTCCTCATCCTCTTCCCGGCAGCCCGGCGCTCCGTGCTGGCGAGCTGACCGAACGGTGTCCTTGAAAAGAGGTTAGGTGGGTTTCCCCTCCAGTTGGAGGGGTTTCTCTCTCCTCGAGTTGAGGCCGGTGCATTTCGGATGGGAGCGAGTGTTATTTCTGAACGCGTAGCGCTCAAGGACACGTGCGGTTTTGCGAATGTGTGTGCAGTGTGTGTGTCTACATGCGGAGGAGCGACCACACATGTTCCTTCCTGCCGGTGATTGCCCTTGACACGCACACACGGGAGGATGGGCACTCACCTGACCGACTGCATTTCTGAGCAGCGAGGAGATCTGCATGTGTGTGTGTGTGTGTGTGTGTGTGTGTGTGTGTGTGTGCATATTTTTGGCATCATCCTTCCTCAGGATATACATTCAACGCCGCCATGAATCCACTAAGCAAACTGACACCGGGAGCTCTTGACGCACACGTCCAAGAAAACAAAAAAAACAGACTTTAAACTCTATATCTGGATCCGCGCACCTAATCAGCATGACAAGTGTGACAAGCGCGCATCAAAGTTTTTGGGCCAAGATGGCTACAGTTGACCTCAATCGCTCCACATGTGTGTGGGTGGGATGGGGGATGGGGGAGGGGGGGCGAACACCTGAGTATCTACAGCAAGTGGAGCAGTTGGCTGGTGTGTACGGCCTGGCTGTTCTCATGAATTGCAGTGGCCATGGAAATGGGGAAACTGGGAAACAGACCGATAGGGATATGGATCTTCATCCTCCCCACGTAATGACCGGTTCATCCGGCTGTCGGGGCAGAGCGGCGCTAATTGCTGGCCGCAGAAAAAAGCCGGAGCTGGAAACAGAAACCTACCTGAGCGTTTTGGTGGTCATGTCGGCTCCCGTGATGCCGTGGTAGATCAGCGTTTCATTCCACACCGGATTCAGAGTGTTCTTCAGGGTTTTTGTACGTAGCTTGTTTGCCTGCAGAATACGAGAATAAGAATAAAATATCATAAACGTGCCGCAGAAGGTAAACTAGCTATATATAAAAAAGGAGACATAGGGGTAAGAGAGAGAGTATGGGTATGGGGAGTGTCATTTATCAGTGTCCCAAAGGAAATGTCTGACATCCGCTGCCAGGAAGCGGGAGGACACGAGGCTTGCCGCGCCTCACCTGTTCCTCTGCCTCATCCTCAGCATCAGAACCAGGTGCTACGGTATCAGCCTGAGCTCGGAAACAAGCGCTGGCTTTTTAAACCGACACGGCTTGTCAGCCAAGAAAACTGTGCTACACAATCAGAGCTAAAAATGTGCTGGAACCTCTGGAAACCGAAACTGTCTCTGACCGTGTAGGTTTTTTAAATTAAGCCTTAAGATACACTGTCATGGAATAATGTGATACTTCACATAAGGGTTTGGCTCAGACACATATTTTTTAGTGCAAAATTCTGTAGCATTTACAGCCATTGTGAGTAAGTGGCGGGAAGTAGTGGACTCTTTATGGTTTTTCTTCTGCTTTAGTGATCATTATTGATAAGTGCCAAGTTGGTATCAAATCGATTCTGCCACCCATCCATTATATCATTTATTGATAAAGAGAGAAAAAAAAATCTTGGAGCGCTTTAAAAAACGATCTGTTAACACAAAGATTTCCCCTTCTTGTCACGATCTATGAGTGTGTGTCTCTGCAAAAGCAAGAAACTCCAAGTAATATAGTTGGTCATTGGACTTAACTGAAGGATCCTTTGTTTCCAATGTAACTATGCACATTTCTACTGTGTACTAACAATTCAGCCAGTGAAGAAAACCATACCCTGCTGTCTAAATATGACGGCTGCTCATGTTTGAAGCTGCAAAGCCAAGCACCCCGGCTGCTTTGCTGACAGTCAGTCTCTCTTAAGTGCCTGAGGGCCAGATGCTGAACCTGCCCTGCCATCTTTTTTTTTCTTTCTTGGCCTGTTTCTGTCCCCGTATCCCATTGTTCTGTGAGTGTCGTGTTTCCTCTTCCACCCTCCTCTTCGATCACCGTCCCTCTCTCTCTATTCTCCTTCATTCCGCTGGAAACTTCTTTCTTACCAATTAGAGCCAGCCCCGCAGAGCTCAGTCCATCAAAAGAACAAATTTGTCAGATTGATTTTCGCAAAGTGGGAGCCGGGCACATCCTGACTCGAAGCAGTGCAGCAAACTCAACACCCACCTCCCTGCTCAAAAAAAAGGTTCCTCAGTCCTTTTTAACTGAGTTGGGTTGGTTTTCCTGAGCACATCTTACCAGATGCTCTATGCCCTCTGTCACTCTCTGCCCTCCCTGAACAAGGGGGGTTTGCATCTGTTTCTAAATGTTTTATCTAAAACCCTCCATCTGTCCACACTCTTCCTCTTTTCTTTCCATCTGTCTGCTGATTTTCTCCCCTTATCTCACACTCCCTCCTTCCCAGATCTGTGATGAACAGAAACCGCCTGCAAGCGAAAATTATCCACGCATCTCAGCTTGGAATGGATACATGGAAATACCAGTGACCATCGGGGGGCTCTGAAAAACTACTGTGTCATCGCATGCATATGTGTGAGAAGAAGAGGAGAGGGCTGTGATGGAGAAGGAGGAAGGGGAGGGAGCGGGGAGCCACTCTGCGTGGCCGTGACTAAATCCTTAGCATGTGTCTGCACACACACAAGGTCACGCGCTGCATGTGTTTGCCGTGTGTGTCGTACATCACAAGACAGGACGCTCGACCGTATCCCAATTTAAAAAAAAAAGAGCTGGAGCTGGACGACGACGGGAGGCGTGAGGTTTCTTGAGAGCTTTTGTCTGCTGGATTAGTCACTGGGAAAACGTGCCCACCGGCTGGACCAGAGAGGATGTGAGTGCGCGCCCGTCATCCTCACTTCAGCGAAAGCTCCCACTTTCCGAAGTGACGTGGCCCCCCCCCCCGACAGGTGGCTATTTAGCAAACAGTGGTTCACAGGCACTTACCTACTCATTGATGCTTTTCTCTGTGCTCCCCCTAACCACCGGCAGCACTTTAACCGTCCCTCTCTCCCGATCAACACTCGCCTGTTGACGTGAGCCGTGTAACAATCCTCCTTGTTTCCATGACAACCACCTGCTGCTGTCCTCCCCTCATCTGTCTCCCTCTCCCTCTCTCCCCTCCCTCTCTATTTTCTAACCCCCCCCCCCTTTTCTCCCTCAACACTGTTGGTATTTCAAGGTCAAAGAGGGGCACAGGCAGATAAAGTGATAGAGACAGAGATCTGGGTGAAAAGTGGGGAAAGGATACTGATAACAATGGGATACAGGATGGACAGACTAAGGCTGGAGGTCAAAAATGCTCCTGCCCCCCCCAGATTTCGGACATGCCCCTCGTTCGACCTAACTGGACACTCTGTGTCCTCCCCTCACAACTCCTATAACCCCATTTCAAATCAGCCCCGAACAGAAATGGCCGACAACAGGTTGTATTCAGTTAAAGCTGTGTGTGTGCGCGCTCGTTCTGCTGTTGTGGCGAGCCTTATCTTCCCCGCTGCAAACGAGACAAGAGTGGTGCAGCCAACCAGAACATGTTTGTGCTCGATAAACCGGAGGACCGGACGAGCCCACGTTGAACGGTAGCCAAGAGAAATGCTCAGTGATTTGGAAAGACAATAAATAAGTCCAGTGGCTTGTTTTGCAAGAGAGTCATGACCTCTTTGTATAGTCAGGTAAATTAGAAAGCGCAGAGGGAATTTTTATTGTCAAAAGCCAAACGACTGCATGTAGTGCCCGCTGGATTTATCATTCATCAACTTTTTTCACCAACTGCCGTTTGATGTATGAGTCTAATTACAAGCGAGTCTAAGAAAGTTACCAATTAATTGCACAACCGAGACGATTTGAGATAATTGATTTTGTTTGGCCAGTTTAAAACAACTTGTAGACAGAAAAATGTCCACTTGTGATTTTTAATTATCATTAGGTTGTAGCCCATACTTTCCTTTAGGACCTTTAGGACCCGAAATTGATATTTTTCCATATTCATTTCCAGTAAATGTCTAATTTTTGCAAAAATGTAAATCTTTAGGTTGCTTCGACAATTGTAATATACATAAAGAACAGAGAAGGACAATTATCTCTATGATGTGACGATGGTAGTTGTGGGTGTCGGTGTGTGTGGGGAGGCCCGGTGTGGGAGCATGTTACATTAATTGCTGTTGAGATGAGGTTGAAGCAGTGACCTTGCTAGCCCCGGGAAGAAGATGAAGCTTGACGTACGGATCGGCCAGCCCATTGGAGTCCATGGCTTTCAGACCCTGTGGACACCAGCAGAAAGACGCATACACACCGTGGTGTCAAAGGTGACGTCATCGTGCCCTCAAACCACTTCAAACCACTGACAGGGTCAGGAAAAGACAAGAAGTCTGACAGTCCATTCCTACTTGTAGTCATTTCTCAGTATGCCTTCTGGCTCTTTCTTCCAATGTCTGTGATTTTCTATCTTCTCCTTTCTGCTGTCCTCGAAGGACCTCTTTACCAAGATTTACATAATTAGCATAAGTGAAGTCAGTATGGAGTGGAAGGCTTCTGTCCTTGCTAAATCCGAAAAGTGCTTGAGCAACTGAGAAACTTTATTAGGACAACTGACGTTGTGTGAGCAGATTCCTTTTCAAAAAAACCATTGTGAGACAGTGCTCTGACGTAGTGTGAAAATGCAAGAGAGCCGTTTTTCCGTTAACTTTCAAGGATGGTTATGCAACGAAGGCTGTTCATATTGAAAGAGACTATTGAGAATTGTGTGTACCTTTGCCTTGTGAATGGTGCAATGAAGACAGTTGTTCTCTTGATCAAAGAGCAGGGTGAACTCCAGCGTTCCCAGGTAGGCTAAAGAAGAAAAAAAGAAGCAACACAAACCCACCAATTACTGCCAATAAAGAGTCACAGGCACATCCAGTCAAACATAGGCTCAAAAGCCCTGAGTCATGTTTGCAGCAGATGGCCTCTTAAAAACATGATGCTGCCCCATATGAATTGATCTGTCTCGTTTGATTACTGTTTTGGAATGAGCAGAAACTAGAGCCCCACCATTGCAACGTTGTGTAATAAATCATCCGAGCTGCCCTGTCACATAAAGCCGGAGTGACAAACATTGTTGGAGAATTGCTCGACTCCACAATTACTCCACAAGCATGTTTTTTCAGCTTTTGAGGAGGCAAGCAGAAACTGAGCGGATGTGAAAACACTCCTCTGCACAACTGCTGAATTAGCACTGTTTTCTCGCGCTGCTTTGATTAATATTTCTCAATTCAATGGACACGCGAAAACTTTTAATATAGACACGATTTCCACCACACAAAAACCTCTCGCTCAGAACTCACTGTCTTCATCATCAGAGTCAAGCACTTCCTCCCCGTCTCCATCGTTCTCCCCTCTTCTCTCCCCATCCTTGTATCCTCCGCCCGTTTCCCCATTGAAAGTCTCCTCCTTCAAGATCTTCTTCTCCCTAGGGGGCGGTGGCGTGCAGGGGTAGTCGTGGAAACGTGGGAAAAAGTCTGAAATTTGTGGGATGGGGAGAATGGGCCCGGGGCACACATTAATGGCAAAATGCTCCTGCATAGAGATCTTGACGGGGGATGGGGGCGGTGGAGCGGTGGAGTGGGGCGTTGCCGAAGGGGAGGTGGCGGATGAGGAAGGGGTGGATGTGGAGGAAGGAGGGATGGTCAGGTGGGAAGTGGAGGGTGGTGGTGGAGGCTTGGAGACACTCATCTGGACTGTCAAACAGGGCTGGCAGGTGAGACAGAGGAGATGAAGAAGAAAATGGGGTGAGAAAGACAAAGAGAATTAAAAAGAAAACCCATCACAGTCACAGCTTAAAGTACTTGTGAGCATGCAGCGTTCCATCAGTTCATTTCCGGGCATTGTGTCGAGCGAAACAAGACAGGTGAAGAACAGGCTTCTGTTTTCACGCACTGATTCAGTCCTGACTTGACTCAAAAGCCAAAATAGAATTCGCCAGAACCTTTGGCACTTGAAGTGTGACTCACGCAATGTGTCAGCACCCCAAGTCTGTGCTCAGAGTGAATATTTAAATGTGGAGCTGGAAAGTCTGAACAAGTGATGTCACTTGTGTTTCTGCACTTGGCGCTAATCTCTCTGCTAAAGCTCACTTTCACTCGTCTCCCCCTTCCTCATCTGCGAACCCCCAAAGCAACATTTCTATAAATTCCACTCCTTTGCAGTCCTTTAAATATTTGCCACTAAACGAAGCAAGATAACTGCTGCCAAACTCCATCCTTTTTGAATGATCCCGTTTTTCTTGCAGCGGTTGCAAAACAGTGAAGACGTTTCCTTTTATTTGCAACAGAGCAGCTTAGGATTTCAAGAGCTTATTTGATTTTATTCGTGACGAGAAAAAGAAAAGACAAAACACTTTAAACGCAAGCAGTTTTTATTTGTGGGAGGGGGGTGGGGGGTGCTGTCCCAGATTATATTGTTGCAGATAAAAATAGTATCATTCTAAAAATCTCATCACATTAAATAATCAGGCAGCAACCCAATACAGTTTTCAAGCCCAAATCATGAATAGGCAGTAATCATTGCTAACACTGTTGCAAAAGCGAGTAATTGGGTTGAATTGAATTGTTTTGCTCCTGCCCATCACCACTCCGGTGAATAGTTCTCAACTGGCAACCTGTTGTTCTTAATGCTGGCAAAGGTCTCATTTGGCGTGTTGCCATGGTTTTCGATAGTACGCTTTTTAACTGACGCACATTGGGTGGACACAGATCATTAGGCTCTTTGGAACTGTGATTCGCCTCCCATATTTGGAAAATGTTGGTGGAAAAATGAATATTGTACTGCCATATAGGTCTGATTCCTGTCAAGGATGACATGTTCATGTTCATCAGCTTGGTACAAATATGATCACATAAATCAAGCCACAATTAAAGTATATCAAAAAGACAAGAAGTCGCCCCCTTTGCTCTCAGTGGAACAGTCTAATGGGTCGTGTCCAGGGGGTGATGACATAACTGTGGTGAAAAAGTTCATTATTTTACATTGCTCTTCGTCCCAAGTACAACAGCAGTCATTTGTGTAACGTCATCTCTGAATGACATTTGAATAAAACCTACCAAGACTTTTCATTCCCATTAAAAAAATCTAATAGAACGCGATATCAGCCCCACCTCAACCTTAAAGTCCTGTTGTTGAGCCACACAGCAATCTCGCCTCCAAATGCAGAGCGTGTCCATGAGTGCAAAGCCTCCAATGGACTTAACATAACCAAAGAGCTTAAGGTGCAGAAATATTCCTTTCAGCTTATCATGAGTCACAAACCACAATCTCTGGTGGGCCAGCCAGCATAAGAAGAGTTCACGCTCCTCATCTTAATTTGCTTGTTTTATCTGGTTAACCATCTATTATCCAAAGATGATTCATTTACAGATAATCATGACCATACTGAGAGGGGGAAAAGAAAACATTTTCACACCTGAGAGGCGGGAAATGGAGAGTAATTGGTATTTTTGTGGAAAAAAAAGACTAGTAGATTGTTGTTTTTAATTCAGTTTGCGGACAGATTTTTGATTTGTTTCACCTCTGTCTAAGTTCGGGCTCGCCACTGTCATAGCTGACAAACGGTGAGAAGCCTTGGTGATGTAACTTATAGAATAAGTCATTTTTCTTTCACGATTCTCTAAAAGTCGTGCACAAATTTACCAAAGCGCAAACGCAGGCAAGTCTCGAAAGTACAACAAGAATCTGTTGTGCGACTTCTGCTGTGCTGTACATCTTATCAGTGAGAGAAAACACACTCCAGATGCCATCTCTTCCACATCCACGATTGGAATTTAAAAGAAAAAACGCCCCACCTTAACACACATGCTCACACACACACACACATGTTAAGACTCCATACAGATAAAGACACCGGACTGCCTGCCCTTATCCTTCACACTCATTCAGACACTCTTACATAACGACTTCCAAATTCACTGCCCGATCCTCATGGACATTCTGCATGCTGCCCACAAACTTACTCAGATCCTTTTCTCGCGTACAGACAAGCAAGCACATGTGAACTCATACTTGGAGACATTCACACATCCATGCACAAATATAGCCACGCAGGGGAAACCTACCCAGGGACAATCTTCATCTGTGCCAGCTCTCCATCTTGCCTGCTTTCACGTCCTCCGTCTCTCGCACTCTGTGAAGCATGTAGACCAGCTTTGAGTCAATATATCCCTCCGTACTCCCTCTCTCTCCTCTCTCTCTCCTCTTTCCCTCCCTGTCTCTGTTCATCATTCGCTCTCCTCTTCTTCTTTCCTATGTCCCTCCCTCTTTCCCCTCTCCCTGTGGTTGTGACGTATCCTGCTAAAATCCCCATCAGTCCTTTTGAGGCCGTTCATATAGTAGTGTCACTCACTCCCTCAGCAGTAGAGACATTTGAAAGAATCTAGGGGGTTAAAAGGGGGCTGTGGTGGGATAAGGCGGTGCACGCAGAGAGCAAGAAAATTTGACAACAGAGAGAGAAACAGCGTAAGAAAGAGGAAAGATGAGAAGACAGACCAACATTATGCGGACACACAGACAAATGCAGAGCGACACCAGCGCGGACAAACACACAACTGCGGAGACCAGCGTGCAATGTGTGAGGAGGGGAGTACATGTGAAAACACTGAAAGCGCACATGAGGAAATACTGTACCGCTGTAGGGTGGGAAAAAAGAAGCAAAAACACAGACTGAAGGGCAGAGAGGGGGAATTGAATTAATCATGTTGACACAGTCAAACGAAACACACTGTCAGCTATGAAATCACACTGCTGGGCAACTCTGGGCTTCTTATTACTGATATCGGACAGGCGTATTTGTGTTGTTACTGGGTTTCTTGCGCTTGTGTTTGCATGTGTGCCTCCATCTGACGCTGCCTTCGTAGCAGCAACCACCACCTGCCACATGGAAGGCATGTATGAAATACAGCAATAGGTCAGTATCAGAGGACTTGTGTAGGATGGGTGTTGGGGTAGCCTGCTGTTCTGTTCAGGGTTTCAAGACACACAAAAACAAACTAAGCGATGGATTTCCTTACTTTTGAAACGCCCGTTAAATGAAAGGCTGCTTTAATCCAACAGATTTTGAGAAAATCAATAGATTTTGTGATTCGAATCGAAATCCCTTTTACACGCTTTGTAATTCCTCAAACGGTCGATTTGGCTTTCTGTGTTTTTTCTGATTAGCTGTGCAACCATTCATTTGTAACACGTCTGCCAAGAAATATTCATGTGAAAGAATTTAAGGCTATGTGAATAGAACTGGTCATATTTTCACTGATGCCTTTTGTGTAAAAACAGATATTTTGAAATGTTGATTTCATACAGCAGTAGAATCTGTAAATAAAGCTTATAAAGATACAGCGCAAGAGATGAGAAAAAGTTAAAGAATTGTTAAGGGAAACTGGAAAAAGCTGGAAATAGCATTAATAAATAACCCAGTATGGCAAGTGCATATTATGCCATAAATATGTATTTCCATATCCTAATACAGCCTGAAGATAATCTTGCCCACAGTATGCAGAGAAAAATGAATGATTTTGCTAAATATAAAACATTCATAGAGACCACGTCACATGTTTTTACATTTTAGATTTATTTACAGAGCACACTGTGCTGTAATCAGAGGGCCAAACAACAGTTTGGACACTGTCATCTTAGAGCTTTAAATTGCAATGTGATTAACTACAGCAATCATCACTCAAAGGAACAACCGGGCTGCAGACAACAACGCTTTTGGGGAATTCATGCTCATCCATTTGCAAAAACATACATTTATTTTAGCTTCTCATCCTCATTGCTGCTGTATTACCCCATCAACACTGTGACAACAGGCCATTATGTTTGTTAATTTGCACAGACAATACTTGGGCTAAATGCTTTCGAAAAGAGATGAATGCTCAGTCTACCATTGCCAAACGCCAACTATAAATGAACGCTTTAGATAAAGGGCACATGTTTGAAGTGGCTTGAGACCAATGCAGCAATGCTCCTGAAGGACACCTTTGCCTGATACCTGGTCACCTTATTCAGAATATGAGAGTTCCCTCAGGTACTGGTGGAACAGAACTGCCTATCTCTTTAAGTCAAATTACATCACACTCATGTGCTCAGAGGAGTCTGGCAGCAATTATCAGACAGCTACAGACAGCCGACCTGCTTACTTCCAAAATGGCTAGGTGCTCTCCATGTGACCCACCACTCCGGAGAGACACTGCACTCTGCCAAGACGGCTCCTACACTGTGTTTAGGTCATGGAGGATTTCTACTAAATTACAGACTTGTGTATTTTTACAGGAACAATGAAACAAAACATTGAGAAAAGGAACTTTGGGGCATACTTTTATGAGAGAATATTTTCTCCACATGTCAGCTCTTACTGTCAAGTTACACCTTGGATATCTTTGTCCAAACAATAGCCCCAAATATGAAGTGACATGAGGGTCAAATGGGTCATTTGGAACGAACTGTGGGTTTCAGCCTGTTTTAACAGAGTTATAAGTTGTATTTCAAATAGGTGTCTGACAGATACGAGAAAATCACGCTCGTTTCCATTTTTGAAT